GCAACCACCCCAGCCCCCCATTCCCCATGGCTGCCCCATGGCTGCCCCTTCCACAGCCCCATTTCCCTGCCCCCCTCGACCCATAAACCCCCCCATGGAAGCACCCCCATTCCCCATGGCTGCCCCCTCACACAGCCCCTCCCTCCCCTCATGAGGAGCCCCCCTCTCTCCCCACGGACCCCCCCCCACCTCCACAGCCCCATTTCCCTGCCCCTCTCGACCCATAGAGCCCCCATGCAACCACCCCAGCCGCCCATTCCCCATGGCTGCCCCATGGCTGCCCCTTCCACAGCCCCATTTCCCTGCCCCCCTCTACCCATAAACCCCCCCATGGAAGCACCCCCATTGCCCATGGCTGCCCCCTCACACAGCCCCTCCCTCCCCTCATGAGGAGCCCCCCTCTCTCCCCACGGACCCCCCCACCTCCACAGCCCCCTCCCCCCCCCCGTCCACTCACATGCCAGATGGCGAAGAAGATGAGCGCGGCGGTGAGGAGCAGCGCCAGCATGTAGCAGAAGGCGGCGAACGTGAAGGCCATGGCGGCGGCGGCGGCGGCGGAAGACGAGGCCCCGGCCGAGCGGCGCGCGGGGATGCCGGGCCGGATCATTCAGGGCGGCCGCCAAGAGCCCGGGCAGCGACGGCGAGGCCGAGAGGGGAGCGCCACTGCGCACGCGCGGGCCACGGTGACAGCGGCGGGCGCCTCCCCGCCCCTCCCTCGAAGGCGCCCCGCAGCGGCCACTCGCGGCCGGCGCCGGAACTGCAGCGCCGCCCGGACACGCTTTTGTTCTCCTGTCCCCGTTTCTCACGACCAGGCCCGGATTGAGGTTCAATGCGGAACTAAGCTACTGCAATTAACCCCCTTTTATGTCCACCTGTCCTATGTCAACAACAAATTGTCGCTGGTTTTTGTGTTGAATATATGCTATATGGTAACTTATGGACCTAATAGGCATCTCAAGCCATTTGCACATGCAGAATGTAGGCACCCTACATATGTTGTTGTTTAGTCATTTAGTCGTGTCCGTTGTTGTTGTTTAGTCGTGACCCCCTGGACCAGAGCACGCCAGGCACCTCTGTCCTCCACTGCCTCCCGCAGTTTGGTCAGACTCATGTTTGTAGCTTGGAGAACACTGTCCCACCATCTTGTCCTCTGTCGTCCCCATCTCCTTGTGCCCTCCATCTTTCCCAACATCAGGGTCTTTTCCAGGGAGTCTTCTCTTCTCCTGAGGTGGCCAAAGTCTTGGAGCCTCAGCTTCAGGATCTGTCCTTCCAGTGAGCACTCAGGGCTGATTTTCCTTAAGAATGGATGCGTTTGATCTTCTTGCAGTCCATGGGACTCTCCAGAGTCTCCTCCAGCACCATAATTCAAAAGCATCCATTCTTCGGCAATCAGCCTTCTTGATGGTCCAGCTCTCACTTCCATACATCACTACTGGGAAAACCATAGCTTTAACTATACGGACCTTTGTTGGCAAGGTGATGTCTCTACTTTTTAAGATGCTGTCTAGGTTTGTCATTGCATTCCTCGCAAGAAGCAGGCGTCTTTTAATTTCGTGGCTGCTGTCACCATCTGCAGTGATCATGGAGCCCAAGAATGTAAAATCTCTCACTGCTTCCATTTCTTCCCCTTCTATTTGCCAGGAGGTGATGGACCCAGTGGCCATGATCTTCGTTTTTTTGAGCAAACCAGTGATCTTTGAGGGAGCAGGCTAGCAGGCGGGGCCCATGACTTACATCATAGGACCCTACACAACACAAAACACTGTTACTGTATGTAGGTTTCATTTTGTTTTTTATCTTATATTTTAGAAATGTACATCCAGGGGTTTTTCCCCGCATTGCATGGCAACATGGGCAAATGGCTTGAGATACGTATTAGGTTTTACCATATTGCATATATTCAATACAAAAAACAGCAACAATTTGATGTTGTTGTTGACATAGGACAGCTGGACATATCAAGGGCCTCATTACCTTCAGTAGCTTAAAAGGTAAAGGAACCCCTGACCATTAGGTCCAGTTGTGACCGACTCTGGAGTTGCGGCGCTCATCTCGCTTTATTGGCCGAGGGAGCCGGCGTACAGCTTCCGGGCCATGTGGCCAGCATGACTAAGCCGCTTCTGGCGAACCAGAGCAGCGCACAGAAACACCGTTTACCATCCCACCAGAGCGGTACCTATTTATCTACTTGCACTTTGATGTGCTTTCGAACTGCTAGGTTGGCAGGAGCAGGGACCGAGCAACGGGAGCTCACCCCGTCGCAGGGATTTGAACCGCTGACCTTCTGATCGGCAAGTCCTAGGTTCTGTGGTTTAACCCACAGCGCCACTCACATCCTCCTCAAACCTAAATCCGGCCCTGGGTCCAGCATCCTGTTCTTACAGGAGCTGGCCAGATGCTTGCAGGAGCACTCCCTGCACTGCCTTTTTCACTCCCCCCAGCACACAGGGACGACTTCCCCCTTCCCAGTGTGACTCCCAAGCTTTCTTTCCTGGGAAAGTGGCAGCCAATTTGGACTTCACCTAGAACTTCTCTAAAGAAAGGACCCAAAGTCTTGACTGCCGCACAGGCCGCTGTGTCAAATTGAGCCCTGGATCAAAGGACTTGCAGATGCCAGGGGAGAAATCAGATGCCAGCCTGAGTCACAGCGGAGATGGCCTCATCCTGGAATCTCAAGGTCTAGGTCTTGTAAAGCGAGAACAGGATGCTTCTGAGCATGCACAGACTTCCATTTTCCATCTCGGTGAGTTACTAGTGTGCCCCACATGCAGTCTCTCCCCATCCTGAGATCATCATGTTGTTTAGTCATTTAGTCATGTCCGACTCACGACTACTGTGTCCAGTTCTGGGCACCACAGTTCAAGAAGGACACTGACAAACTGGAATGTGCCCAGAGGAGGGCAACCAAAATGGTCAAAGGCCTGGAAACGATGCCTTATGAGGAACGGCTAAGGGAGCTGGGCATGTTTAGCCTGGAGAAGAGGAGGTTAAGGGGTGATATGATAGCCATGTTCAAATATATAAAAGGATGTCATATAGAGGAGGGAGAAAGGTTGTTTTCTGCTGCTCCAGAGAAGCGGACACGGAGCAATGGATCCAAACTACAGGAAAGAAGATTCCACCTAAACATTAGGAAGAACTTCCTGACAGTAAGAGCTGTTCGACGGTGGAATTTGCTGCCAAGGAGTGTGGTGGAGTCTCCTACTTTGGAGGTCTTTAAGCAGAGGCTTGACAACCATATGTCAGGAGTGCTCTGATCTGATGGTGTTTCCTGCTTGGCAGGGGGTTGGACTCGATGGCCCTTGTGGTCTCTTCCAACTCTATGATTCTATGACTCTTTGTGACCCCCTGGACCAGAGCACACCAGGCACTTCTGTCTTCCACTGCCTCCCGCACTTTGGTCAAAATCATCATCCGAGGCCCCAAACCACCTGCTTCTTCCGCAGGTCCAGAAGGTGGTGATGAGAGAATGAGCCACAGGATGCTGCCTTATACAGAGTCAGACCCTCTGCCAGAGCTATGGCCTCCTCTGCAATAGCCCATTTAAGGAAGACCTGACTGGCACCAGCCCTTACCCTCATTTCAGCACCAACGATATGATTAAATTTTATTTTCGATAACATTCATGTGCATTTTTATTGACTTTATTTTATGTTAGTTGTAAATCACTTTGGGACTTCTTTTTTCTAAGAGGGGAGCAATGTATAAATTGAATAACCCCTCTGGGAGAGGAACCCCGCCCCTTTTATGTACATACTTCCGCCAAACCCTAAAAAATATGCTATGCAATATCCCTAGTATATGAGCTCAAATGCCAGCGCTAAACAGGCTTTCGAAAACTAGCACAACCGCATTGCAAGTAGCCAGTTTGCGCACCACACTTCGTTTGCAACATGCCAGTAGTTCGATGCTGTCTATTGATCTGCATCACATGCGAGAGCCAACTTTAGCGTTTCTAGGTCGAAACGTTTTCTGAGCAGGGTGGGAAACAAGGCAAACTGGGGGTCAGCGAACGGGAGGCGGGGGAAGCAACAGAAAACAGCAATTTTAAGTAGGATCCCACACATTCAAACCCAGGTCGAGAATTCCACTTAGCCTTAACTAGGCTCTGGAGGGTAGGACTCAAACCAATGGCTTCAAGTTACAAGGAGATTCCGACTAAAGACCAGGAAGAGCTTTCTGGTGGAAAGAGCTGTTTGGCAGTCTGGCGTGGCAGACTCTCCTTCCTTGGAGGTTTGTAGGCAGAAGATGGATGGCCACCTGTCATGGATGATCTAGTTGAGATTCCTGCATCTTGGGGTTGGACTAGATGACCCTTGAGGGTCCCTTCCAACTCTACAAGTCTATGATTTTATGGTTTCTTATCATAGCAAAACGAAAACGAAAAAAACCCTCACACCTTTCAAACAATGGTTAAGGTTGCACTGGGAATGGATGGAAAGAAATTAATTTAAGGGAAAGAAAATGTGGACAGGAGGAGACTGCAATCCGCCACATTACTCCTGATCTTAGAAACGGGGTTAACAATAATAATAATAATTTATACCCCACCCTCCCCAGCCAAGACCGGGCTCAGGGCGGCTAACACCAAATATAAAAATAATTGATTAGAATACAGCTTAAAAAAACAAAATTAAAATACAACATTAAAACATTAAAACGCAGCCTCATTTCAGTGGAACTCAATCAAAAACTTTTTTGGGGATAAAAACGTCAAGTCTTCACCAAGGCAAACTATCCAGACTTGTCATGGGCCAGAAAAAAGCCAGGGAATCCACTTGGAAATGGCCATTGTAGCTCCAAGTTTCTGGTACTAAATGTGCTTGTGTGAAGCCTTGGTTTGCTGGGGACACCTCTTTTGCAAATTCCCTCAAGTGGAAGACCCGCACGAGAGCCCCACTGACCCACCAATAATTTTGCAGAGGACTTTTGCATTCTGCAAATACAAGCTTATCCATCCTTTGTGTTGGCTTCACGTCATCAAATAAAGAGCACACTCCTTCAGAGCATACAAGATTTATTTCAGGTATTTACAGCCTGCTTTTCAATTTGAGAATGAGAACTTCCATGGCACATTTTGTTTTCTCCCCATGGAAATTGCTCTTTATTATTTATTTGCATTTATACCACGCTCTTCCACCAGGGGAACTCAGGGCAGCTTTAGGCAATGCTTCCTCAATAAATCTTTTCCAAGTTTATAAATCGAAATACTATTAAAAAGTGTAATTTTTGCAGACTCTGTTAATCTCTAGCAAAGAGGAATCCTAAACTACTACCATATTAAAAAGGGCACACTGTCAATAGAAAGGTTAATTTATTTACTCCGTTAGAAAAATTATAGTTTTCTTATGGGAATGTCGACTGTTTTCCCCGCCCCGCCCCAATTGTGTGTTTGTGTGTTGGTCTTTCTTAACACGGTTGATAATAGGTATGCAAAAACTAAAAATCCAAGGCTGGAATAATTATTCCGAATTGAACAAAGTTAGACGATTGTCATTTAAGTCTAAAAGTAAAAAAAGAAGAAGGAAAGAAAGATGCTCAGCACAACAATTTAGAATAATGCCACTTACAAAAAGGACAATAAGGTCTCCTAAACGTTAAGAAAAAGGAAAATACCAGGCTTTGTTTTTATCACCAGTGTCAACTGCTCTCAAGTGTTTTGACAGCTCAGATGTATCATCAGCTGCTCCACAAGCTCAAAAACTTGTAGGATTAGGCAGCCCAGAAGGGGCTCAAACCCAACAGCAACTAAACTGCCTGATTATCTTGCCAAGCTGGGCAAGGTTCCAGGAAGGTGCAAAAGAAGGGCAGCCCCTCCATTCTCCAAGGCAGGGGCAAGCAGTTTTATGGCCCGTGGGCTAAATCCAGGACGATTGAGTTTCCTGCTGCCCCAGGAAACAGAGGAGATTGCTGCCTGGCAACCCCCGACCCAGAGCCATCTACTCGTGGCCCTGCCCGGTTTTAAGCAACGCTAGGCAAAAGAGTTTCCTGCCGTCTCAATCCAAAGGTGAAAAGCCAGTTTGCCCCCAGAAGTCAACAAGAGATTTCACATTTTAGTGTCACCAAGAGAGATCTATAGATGCCCTCTGCCATGCAGGAGAACGTTGTTCCAGAAATGATGCGAAGCGCTTGCTGCGGAATGGAACAGAGATGGCAAACCTGTGGCCGTGCAGGTGTTGCAGGGACTCGGCCCCAGCCAATGGGCAGGGGATGATGGGAATTGTAGTCGAGGAGTGGGGAACCTCCAGCCGGCAGGGTGACACTGGTCGATGAGCTCATTTTCCCCAAACAGTCCCCAATTTACCCATCCGATGACATAGCTGGTGATGTCAGCTGACGGGCAGGGCCTTCTCCTTTAAGCGAGCAAGAGGGGAAAAGGTTAAAAGAACCTGTACAATGCAGATTATTTCTCTCCTACCCACCCATTGCTTGCTTCAAAGGGAAGCACTTTAAGCTAGTCCCCAAAGCGCAGACAGGGTAGCAGGGAACAGCCTTAAAGCAGGCGCTGTTTTGCGTTCAGCAACACCTGCCCCCAGGTATAGAGCTGGATCAGCTGGGAGGGAGGTGAGCCCATGCGGGCAAAGTATATCCAGTCAGTGGCCTGAGAATGGTTGCTCATGCCAGAGCTTAAGAAGAGCAGGTCAAGGCTGTACAGAACAGACAGGGAAAATCCACCGGCAGGCCAGGCCTGTGTTCTCTGTTGCCAACCCCTCCCGCAGGCAGGGCGATTAAAAGCTCAAGCGCCGAGTCCTGCACCCAGGCAATTCAAGTTGTGCGCCGAGATAGGTGGGCTGCTGTGACCTACGCACAATTGACTCAACCCTAGGAGGAAAGGAAGGAAATGTGCAGGGCACCAAACCCTGCCTCTCCCTCGCTGTTTTCAAAGAGGAAAGCCAGCACTGCCCCACATGCTTCCGACATGCTCACCTTTGCAGCTGCAAGGAGCTAGGGGCATTCCTTCCCCAACGTGGTGCCCTCCAAGTGCTGTTAGGGCTGCCACTCCCATCATCCCTGACCGCCGAGCTAGCTGGTTTTAGGCTTAAGGGGAGAAGTAGGACAAAATATTTGGAGAGCACCAAGGTGGGATAGAGACTAGCTTGAAAGAGGAACAGGTCAGGAATTCTGCAAGCGGAATTCTGAATGTGTGCTACCTGCAGAATCACAGCATGTTTTACACAGTCCTGCCCGTGGGTCACGGAGCCCAGAACAGAGCTGTGCTGGACATTCAAATACTAAGGAGCAGGGTTTGTTTTCATGGATCTTTTTGGGTTTTCACCAGCCAAAGCACCCCGCTTTAAATCGTGGCAATAGCAGACACAGAATCTGCCCCTCCAGATGAAATTGATCAGACACCGTGTGCCCTCATCTTTTAGGCAGAGTCGGCCTGTGTGTATCAAGTCTAGTGTTTAAAAACTGGCAGCATAAGATTCTCTTACAATCAATGGAGAGATAAAGAAATGTAAAAAAGAAAAGAAAGGCACACAGAGAAGTGCTTGTATAAAAAAGACAAGAGAACAGTTAATAAAAACTGCGTACAAAGACTTAAGGAATGGATGTTCACCAGAGTGTTACTGAGCCCTTACGGATTTTTTGATTATTATTTTTAAGAAATCTACTTCCCTTTGGACTAGTAAAAGAAAAAAAGAGGGACTATCTACTACACACAGAGAGAAGAAAAATAGAAGGGTCAAACTTTTGACCCGAAATGGAAATATGTTGACGCAAGATCAACTGAGAATATCGTTGGAATTTTAAAGAGGAAAGGAAGCGGTCCATTCTGAAAAACTGAAGAAGCGAGTGTGTGATTAATACTTCAGAAAAATTGCATTTGAGATTGGTTCTAAACCCTTTTATGTCCAGAAGATTCAAGTCACTTAAGAAAATGCTGTTTTCACATACAAGCCATTAAGTGTCCAGTTTCTGTCCAACAAGGATGCCTCTGCAGCTCAGGCGAAGGGGGAAGAAAAGGCTACACATTTGACTGGGAACATCCTGCAAACAGAGCCCACGGACACAAGCAAGATTGATACAGAGGGTCCCATTCATCTTAAGCGGGGCTTGCGCAGGAAGCCTTCCTTGGAGGGAGACTGTGCCACATTACCTGTCACAGTTACGAGTTCCAGATTAAGCCATATAGAAATATTAGTCACAAGAGGGAGGGGAGGTGGAATTGTCCCTGCAGGAGAGCTGTTCCCTTTTAAAACAGTTAATAAAGAGAGGGAAGGGAAAACGACCGCATGGGCAAAGTTTGGTTACGCAGGAACTGCTGCATCTCCCCACGCTTGTATAAACTTTGCACGCACAAAAATATATATGTACATACATACACACACTGCAGGAAACGACTATAAATACAGTGCATCCTTTGTGGGTCTAAAAAGGAGGAGGAGGAGTCGCCGTGTCTGGTTCCAGTTCACGCCAGGCTGGAATGCTTAAAGAGTCTTTCAATGGAAGAAGCCAAGTTTCTCGTGCAGCCACTCCTCAGTGAGGTCTTCTGTATTCCTGATTTCAAATACCTTTAGTTTAAAAAAAAAGAGGGGGGGAGAAAAAGAAAAGTATTGTGTGAGCAACTATGGTCTCGGCCGATACAACAAGCTTTTCCGCTTCTGTGGTGGCACCTCTGTAAAACCACGTGTCAGGGGCTCAGGAGCAGAGGCACAGGGGAGAGAGGAAATGGAGAGCGAAGGGGAAGAATCTGAGGGCAGCGTAGGGGAGTATGAGACTGGCCCGAGAGATTCCATGAGTCTCTCCAGCGAATCAGAAGATTCCCAGAGGGGGCGCCGATGGCCAGGGCAAGGGGGGTCCCAGGGGGGACACACCAGAAGCAAGGGGCCAGCGGGGACTCCCAAAGCAGCAGCGGGAGAGCAGGACCAGCTTCCCCACCAGAGCGTAGTGAGGGGGAAGAGTCACATGTATCAGGGCCAGCTTCTCCTCCAGCAGGGAGAGAAGATGAGTCAGGGGTGGCCACGCCTCCATCGGAGAGTGGGGGAACGGAGGGAGAGTCAGGTCCAGCTAGCCTCCCCGAAGGGGGAAGCAGTGACAGGAGCAGTGTAACGGTCAGGAGGAAGGTGGCCGGCTGGGCGCGCGCGCCAAGTTCGAATGTACAGGCGCGCGGCACAGCAGGAAACCCGGATTGGGAACCAGGTCCTAAAGCCCGCCGGAGGGAGGGGGAAGACTCAGGGGACTCAGCGTCAGAAGAGTCTAGGAGAGGCGAGACCCCAGCGGACAGGCGGGCCCAGAGGAGAAGAGAGCAAAGGAAGAGGTGGAGCAAGGCGAGAGTCTTAAACTGGTGTCTGGGGGGAGGAGACTCAGACGGAGCTTCAGCGGTCTAGAGTTTGAGATGTAGAGCTGCGCGCCGCGGTTGTAAAAGCAAAACTGAGCTTCAATAAAGACTGTTTTATATAACAACGAACTGGCGTTGGTCCTTTGTGAGCTGGGACCTAGGGCAGCTCTGACACCACGTCTTACTGTTTGTAGCAGAGTTTTCCCCAGAGGCAGAGGACAAGAACAGGAGTCATACTCAAATTCACAGTCAAGAGCTTCAACTGCTTGACTGGTTGCACAGGTGTTTCTGTTACAGTGGTACCTCGGGTTAAGTACTTAATTCATTCCGGAGGTCCGTTCTTAACCTGAAACTGTTCTTAACCTGAAGCACCACTTTAGCTAATGGGGCCTCCCGCTGCCGCCGCACCGCCGGAGCACAATTTCTGTTCTCATCCTGAAGCAAAGTTCTTAACCTGAAGCACCATTTCTGGGTTAGTGGAGTCTGTAACCTGAAGCGTATGTAACCTGAAACGTATGTAACCCGAGGTTCCACTGTACTATTATATACAGGCTATTTACATTCCCTCTTTATCTCTCCAGCACAGTATAATCTGGAGTCCAGTAATTAACAATCCTGACACAGCAAAACTCATAGTATCAGCAGCACACATTGTCTTACTTCCAACCTTGTTGTCAGTGTGTGTGTGTGTGTGTGTGTGTGTGTGTGCTTTCCTCGTGCGGAAATTGCAGCCTGCAACTTCCTCCCTTTATTTGCACCTCCAGCTGACACCAATCAAACCTAGAGGGGCACTCCTACACACTAAAGACAAAAATCTGGAACCCTCTTTAAAGCTTCCAGTAACTTTTATCTGTGTCTTAAATAATGTTTTCCAAACAGAGAAACCTTTGCACAGGCAAAACGCTTTGGTAAGCTGTCAGCATGCGACGACACAACCCAGGAACAGATTTGACTGGCCTGCTAAACCGGGTGAGGGAAGCCGATGGGTCTCATACCCTCGGTGACTTGGGACTTCACCTGCATGCGAAGACAGGCTCTGGAGGATTGAGTGGATGAGACCAAAAGTGGGTTGAACGGTCAAGAAGGCAATTCCTGCACATGCTGCAGAGGGAAGTGAGGGGCAGGTGGGGTTCATTAACCTGGGAAAGCAGCCCATATAAGAGAAGGAAAAACTGATCCTAAACCTGGCTCCCCTTCAAGAGAATAAAAAGGCTCAGGAGTAAATCTGGAGTAGAGTGCCTCCTGCTGGCAACTCTTGCAGCCAAGCTGGTGCCAAATGTCTTGCGCTGATTTCCTTTGGACCCCATCAGTGAGAGCCAGTATGGTGTAGTGGTTAAGAGCGGTGGACTCGTAATCTGGGGAACCGGGTTCGCTTCCCCGCTCCTCCACATGCAGCTGCTGGGTGACCTTGGGCCAGTCACACTTCTCTGAAGTCTCTCAGCCCCACTCACCTCACAGAGTGTTTGTTGTGGGGGAGGAAGGGAAAGGAGAATGTTAGCCGCTTTGAGACTCCTTCGGGTAGTGATAAAGTGGGATATCAAATCCAAACTCCTCTTCTTCTTCTTCTCCTTCTTCCTCTTCATGTCTTGTTTATGTAGTGACCGCTCCCCACATTAAATGGGGGCGCCCTTTACGTGGTCACGCACAGCCCCCTGGGCCCTATGCGGCTCCATTAGCACAGGCTTGGCTTCACCTTCCCCAGGTGGGATACCTGGAGGTCTCCGCCTACCTCAGCCAGTTACCCAATCCCGCCTGGGGACGCGTTGCCAAGGTGATCAGGCCAGGTAGGGGGAGGGACTACCTGCCCACGCAATAGGGGGAGGATCTTACCTGGGAATCATTGGTTGGCACCAGAGATTCTCCCACCCTCAGTTAAGACTTCTTTTGCAGGTTAACCTTTTCTCCACAGGTACGTGGGCGCAGCTACGTCAAGGTCGCTGTTGAAGGTCCGGAAAGGAATTCCTCTGCATTGGCAGGTTTGCCTTTCCCGTAGCAAAACGTCACAACTTTGGCGGTATCAGGCCTTGGGCGGAATCCTTTAGTCTATCTTCCCTATACTCCTTAGGGTAGTGATGAAGCGGGGATATCAAATCCAAACTCTTCTTCTCCTCTTTATCTGGTCAGCCCAGGAACTCTATATACCCTGCCCAGGCTTGCGCCCCAAGGACGTCACTTCGGTGCTGCTAACACAGAGTTTCGACTTCACCCTCGGAGGCACACTCCATTGTCTCTCGAGACAGAGGGAGGCCAACGACAAACACCAAGCACATCCCTGATACTTAATCCAGAGACGTCTGCTGTTGGGCAGTGTGGTTTGGAGGATACAGCCTCTCAGGCCAACTTGGAGCCTGTGGGTGGGTCAAGACTGGCCCGCTGGCCTGAGAGTCACCCACCCCTGCTCTGCAGGATCTCTCAGAGGGGAAGAAGAAGAAGAAGAAGAAGAAGAAGAGGAGGAGGAGGAGGAGTTTGGATTTGATATCCCGCTTTATCACTACCCGAAGGAGTCTCAAAGCAGCTCACATTCTCCTTTCCCTTCCTCCCCCACAACAAACACTCTGTGAGGTGAGTGGGGCTGAGAGACTTCAGAGAAGTGTGACTGGCCCAAGGTCACCCAGCAGCTGCATGGGGAGGAGCGGGGAAGCGAACCCGGTTCACCCAGATTATGAGACTATCACTCTTAACCACTACACCACACTACACCACACTGGCTCCCTGCCCTAGGAATTGCCTGAGGAACAGGGGAGCAGAAGAGGGGTGCATTAGCCACTGTGGTGTTATTTAATGCTTCCTCTGAATGCAGGCAGAGATGTCAGCTCAGACCGCATTTTACGCTATTGATTCATGCATTGATGTAAAACGGAAAGATGGGAGGGGGGCCCCGGAGCTCCATCACACAGTGCAGATTAGTTACTGCACTCAAAACCACAGTAGGACGATTATGGAAAACATGGTGGGGTGGAAGGAAGAGTCTCCTCAGGGGAGCGATGGAAGGACCAGGCAGGAGAACACAACCCTGCTAGAGACAGGCCAGCTCAGAGGATTAAGGGCACAGCAGGAAGCTGAAGGGTATAATAAGCTGGAAGTCTAGTTTGCCCTGCCCTAGATGCCAGCCACACATGCCCTGATAATAGAAGTACCGTATTTTTCGCTCCATAAGACGCACTCTTTTCCTCTTAAAATCTAAGGGGAAATGTCTGTGCATCTTATGGAGTGAATGTGTGGTCCCTGGGGCTGGGGAGGGGGACCCGGGCTTCCCCCGCCAGCCCCACAAGCTCAGAGAGAAGCGGGAAGGCTGCGCATAGCCTTCCCATTGCTCCCCGACCTGCTCTTTGGGGCTGGCAGGGGAAAGCCGGGCTTCCCCCACCGCCAGCCCCGGGGAGCAGGTCGAAAGGAACCCGAAGCCTCCCGCTGCGCTCTGGAGGCTTCGGGTTGTCTTCACTGAAGCCTGGAGAGAGAGAGGGGTCAGTGCACACTGACCCCTTTAGCTCTCCAGGCTTCCAAGGTAGCCGCCTGAAGCCTCCAGAGCGCAGCGGGAACTCCTGCTGCGCTCCGGAGGCTTTGGGTTGCCTTCACTGAAGGCGAATGAACGCACCTTGAACGCACTGAACGCAACTTGTTTTAGAGGGGGAGAACAAAAAAAATAATATCTCCCCCTCTCTGTGCAACGCCCCTTCAGCGAAGTGGCAGGAGAAATGGAAGGGGCTCCGTTTTTCCTGCCACTTCACTGAAGGAGCGCTCAGCAGAGAGGGGGAGAATTTTTTTTTCTTGTTCTCCCCCTCTAAAACAAGGTGCGTCCTATGGTCAGGTGCGTCGTATAGAGCGAAAAATACGGTATTTAAAACTGACAGAAGAGTTTAGGCAATGGGAAAAGCATCAAGTTGGCATAGGACCTGCTCTTATAACAAATAACACCATTGTCTTATAACAAATCAGACCATTGGTCCATCTAGCTCAGTGCTGGCTACACCAACCGGCAGCAGCTCTCCGGAGTCGGGAATCTACCCAAGGACCCCTCTGCACACAAGGCAGATGCTCTAGAACACATACATAATTTCATTTGCACGCCACCTTTCCACAGTTCAGACCATGCTCAAGGCAGCTTACAACATGAAAAAAAAACACACGTCACTGCAACATAACAAAAGTAGTCGTGAACAATAAATCAATCATTTAAAGTATGCAACCAAAAGGAGCAATTTGTGTGTATATATATCACAACAGGATTGAAAATGATACAAACAACAACAGCACCCGCACCCAAGAAAGAATCCAAAACACCCCAGCTCAAGATTCTGTTCAGCAGCCTCAGCTTTTGCAGCTGGAGTCAGTCAAGGTCCTGCCCTCCAGGCCAGGTGAGAAAACGCCTGCAAGGAGGAAGCAGGTCTTCCAGCGCTCACAGCTAAGATGGTCTTCAGCAGCCTCAGCTTTTGCAGCTGGAGTCAGTCAAGGTCCTGCCCTCCAGGCCAGGTGAGAAAACGCCTGCAAGGAGGAAGCAGGTCTTCCAGCGCTCACAGCTAAGATGGTCTTCAGCAGCCTCAGCTTTTGCAGCTAGAGTCAGTCAAGATCCTGCCTTCCAGGCCAGGTGAGAAAAGGCCTGCAAGCAGGAAGCAGGTCTTCCAGGACTCACAGCTAAGATGGTCTCCAGCAGCCTCAGTTTTTGCAGCTGGAGTCAGTCAGCAGCCTCTCCACCCTCCTTCCATTAAGCCACAACCCTTCCTCACAATGCAGTAAGTTTGTACCTGGCAAATTCTGGGCGCCTTCCACTCTTACCTTTGTGAGTTCCGCCGTCTGTACGAGCTTATTTTTGCTGCCGGCGTACATCATCTGTTGCTCAGGCTTGCACCCTGCAATTATCGGGAGGGAATCGGGATCAGGAGCAAAGCAAGACCAGAATTAAGGCAGTCTGTTCAGGAGGAACGGGGCAGGGGTACAGATTGAATAGGCCAGCCGTTTTATTGCCTGCCTGCTGCTTCTCCCCACTCGCTACCAGCTCGTTGCTCTGCTAAAGCCTTCGCCAACCCGTCAGATGCTCCCGACTGCAGCTCCCATTGGGAACTGTAGTTCTGGAGGGCACCTGGTTGGCAAAAGCTGCTCTACTAGAGTCTCGTCCCTTGCAAGTCGCCCCTTTCCATTTATTAATTGATTGCATTTATATCCCACCATTTCCTCTAAGGAGCTCAAGGTGGTATACGCTGTCCCCCCCCCCCAATTTAATCCCCACGACGACACTGTGAGGTAGGCCGGGTTGAGAGAAGGCAACGACTGGCCTAAGGGCACACCCAATGAGCTTCGTGGCCCAGTAGGGATTTGAACCCAGGTCCTAGCTTGACACTCTTAAGCGTTGCACCTCATGGGCTCCGAAATCTAAGCCTGGCTTTGTCGGCCTGGCTCCCGCCAGAGGGTGTTGGACTACAACTCCCATCAGCCCCTGCCAGTGCACAATGGGAATTGTAGTCCAACAACAATTTCTGGAGGGGGCCAATGAAGGCGAGTGTCAACACTTAAAATTGAGAGCCTGGGGGTCCTGAAAAGGGCAATTCACAAGCTTCACCAACACCACCTCGCCCCCATGTGGGCTGTTCTTAGGGCTATCCTAAGACGTGTTTGTGTCCCGTCCGATCAAAACATGGCTCCCAGCGGAACTTGCTGTCCTTATGGCAATCAGCCATCTCCATCTTGAAGCCCAGCAGGCGGCTGCGTTTTGCTTTGCAAAACTGTAGAGAGCTGGGAGGGCCCTCAAAGGTCATCCACTCCAACCCCACGCAGAGCAGGAATTTGTACGGGAGAAACTGCCCCCATCATCCAGCCGGAGCTTGACTTACCGACGGGGCTGGAGAAGATGAAGCAGAGCGGGTAAGAGACTCTCCCGTCGTCGTGCTGGTACTTGTAGCTGTAGACAATGAACGTTTTCTCAGAGTTAAGGAAAATGGAAGCAGGAGGGGTGGGCAAGAGAGGATCTTGAAGCCTGCCCGTTGCAAAGTGCTCAGTTTTTAAACAGAGTTTACAGGTGAGGGGGGCAGTTCATACCTAGGGCTGCTACGTTCAGATCAATGAAATGCTGAAAAGGACTAAAGGCGGCCATGATCGTACCAGACTGTTGAAAGCACTGTTTGGTCTGAGCAGCGCCTCCCCCACCCCACCCCACTCCGCTTTCCACCCCGAGGTCCCATTCGCACTATGCATTTAAAGAAGGATCACCCCACTTTAAAACAGTCACATCTTCCCCCTAAAGAACGCTGGGAAATGCAGTTTTGCTTGTTATATTCTTTACAGAAAAATAAGCAGTATAAAATTTTAAGTGCACCGGGTAAAAGAAAATGTGAAAATAAAACAAAATAGCACCCGTGTAAAAAACAAAAAACTATAAACATTACGGTAGTTAACGTAAACTTAACCTAACTTAACTTAATATGCTGTTCAAAAAAATGAATTCCAAATATCGTTAAATTTGTCCATGGCGAATCTACATTTGTAAACGGCTTGTTCATGTGTTGCAGATTTGTACATACTGTATATTCTATCCATTCATTGAAGAGAGCTGCATTAAAAAAAATTCCAGTTCATCAATACCTGAGCTTTTGCCTTGGTAAGGGCGTGGACAGTCCATTCATATTTTCCCTTTATTAGGTTCCATGTATTGGGTATATAAGTCAAGAGAATATTTTCCTCTGCAAATTTAAGATTTCTTAAGTTTAAAGGTGCTGAGATTTGTTAGGAGGCCTCCTATTCCTCTCCATAGAACTACAATTCCCAGAGTTCCCTTGGAAGAGAGATGGATTGTTAAGCCACTCTGGGAACTGTAGCTTTGTGAGCGGTCCCATAACAATGCTCAGCATGCTTAACAAACTACACTTCCCAAGATTCTTGGGGTGAGGCTGCGGTTGTTTAAAACCGCATTAGGTAAAGGTAAAGGGACCCCTGACCATTAGATCCAGTCGTGGCCGACTCTGGGGTTGTGGTGCTCATCTTGCTTTATTAGCCGAGGGAGCTGGTGTACAGCTTCTGGGTCATGTGGCCAGCATGACTAAGCCGCTTTTGGCAAACCAGAGCAGCGCACGGAAACGCCGTTTACCTTCCCCGCCGGAGCGGTACCTATTTATCTACTTTGCACTTTGACGTGGTTTCGAACTGCTAGGTTGGCAGGAGCAGGGACCGAGCAACTGGAGCTCACTCCGTCGCGGGGATTCGAACCACCGACCTTTGGATCAGCAAGTCCTAGGCTCTGTGGTTTAACCCACAGCGCCCCGAATCCTGACCATTGGCCTTTGTCACCAACAATTTCCATCCGAATCCTGCTCATCCATTGAGGCCCCAGCTCTTACCTAGCTTATAATGGGCTCCCTAAAGACAGCCTCTCACCCCTGGTGGGCAAGAATTGTAAAAAGGGGCCTTGTACCAAGCCAGACCATTGGCCCACCTATCTTAAAATTGTCTACGCCAGTGGCTCCCAAACTAACCACACTGTGGACCACTTGAAAATTGCCATAGTTCTTGGCAGACCACTTAACTGCTTTTCTGCCTAGTGTAGCAATTGTAATACACCATAGGGACACGGGTGGTGCTGTGGTCTAAACCACTGAACCTCTTGGGCTTGCCGATCAGGTCGGCAGTTCGAATCCCCACAACAGGGTGAGCTCCCGTTGCTGTGTCCCAGCTCCTGCCAACCTAGCAGTCCGAAAGCACAGTAGTGCAAGTAGATAAATAGGTACTGCTGCAGTGGGAAGGTAAACAGTGTTTCTGTGCACTCTGGCTTCTGTCATTGTGTCCCATTGTACCCGAAGAAGTTTAGTCCTGCTGGCCACATGACCTGGAAAGCTGTCTGTGGACAAATGCTGGTTCCCTTGGCCTGAAAGAGAGAGGAGCACAATTCCATAGACGCCTTTGACTTGACTTAACCATCCAGGGGTCCTTTACCTTCACCTAATGCGCCATGCTAGACGCTGTAGGGTTTTTAATTGCCCTTTTACAGACATGCTGCAGACCACTCTCTCTTTTTTTTTTTTTTAAATATTTTTATTGGGTTTTCACATTTTATATAGATAAAGACACAACACATAACATCAAAACAAACATAAAAAACAACAAACATGTATAGTTCCCGAAAATCTTATTTTCTAACCCTAGTCCTTGACTTCCCCCCACCCCCCTCCCTTGCATCCCTATTCCCAAGTTTATGTCAGCAAATTGGTATTTCCTTCTCCGTCTTGATATTAATCCTTTTATAAAAACAAAAATAAATTTTCCCTAAGTTGGACCCCAATTCTCTTCCCACGATTTCTCATTTTTTCTTAAATAATTTTCTTATTAACTAAACCCCCTGGTCTTGAGTGTTGTTTAAATTTAAATGCTTCCCTCCCTCCCATTCCCGCTTTGCGTCCTTTCCCAAGACATGTCCAAAATAACATTTTTTAGCCTGGATTCCGCACATCCAAAGCTCTCAAGTCTCTTTCAGTCCCTCTCCGCCGATTTTGTTGGTAGTCCTTTTTGTTGGTCATCGAGTCTCGAAAGATTTCCTTAACAATCAATCCAATCAATCCATAGTCTCTTCCCATATTTAGAAACAACTGCTGAGGCATTTCTGCAAGGCCTAAGTCTTGGTGATAGTCAAAATCAAAGTCTATGTGGATGCCCCAATTGTACTTCTTTATTTCAAGCTCCTGAATTCCATAAACTTCCAGGGCTTCCTCTTTCGTCTTCTGTATCTTTCGTAGACTTAAAATGGAGTTAATCCAATAGTCTCCTTGCTTGTGTTCTCCAAATGCCGACTTCTGGTTGATATTTTCCGACATAACTTGTTCTCTTTCATGTTTTGTCTTCTCCTCTTCTTTGTTTATTATTTCGAATTCAGCTGTGGGTTCTTTCTCACTCAGGTCTTCATTGCATTCAGCAGAACTACTTGTTTCCGAATTCAAGGTCATCAATTGTTTACTCATAACTATAGTCTGCTCCTGTAAGGTTCCCACCAGTGAAAACATCCTTTCGATTTCTCTCAGTATCTTTCCACCCACAGCCATTGTAATTCCACAGAATTCCCCTAGAGGGAATCTAGTTACTTAATGAACTTTTCTCCAACAATCCTCTATCCTGTTATTGTTTCTTTGTTTCCCACAATTTTAATTCAATTGTAACTCCTTTTAATCCGGAGAGGTCTTAGATAGCAATTTTTCCACTGTTAACAGTCCATTTGACAGCTTTGACAGCTGTCAAATTCTGCTCCTCTATACAGGCTCCAAAGCAGGTCACTCCCGGGCCCGGGAGGGAGGGTTGTTTACCACAAAACAAAGACTCTTCCAACACTCCACTCTCCTGCTCAAATTTGCTTTTCCCAAATCTTGGAAGTTACTGTCTTTTTAAAACTCACCCTTTGCAGGGTAGGCACTCCAGCTTAGCTCTTATATCGTTGCTCTGGATCGTCTGCAAGGGGGGGGGTGGGGACTTCCTTTTGGCGCACCCCCCGGTCGTCTCAAATTCAGAAGGTAGAAAATTTTAAAGTTCAGTTCCAAATTACTCACGGGTTCTTTTTTTCCAGTCCAAATTTTAAGGAAGGAAGTCAGCGCTCTCCAGTTATGGCTCGCGGCTTCGCTCAGCGGCGGTAGCGATCGACTCTCAGTGCCGCGCCGTCCCCCGTATCCCCTCCATAGCCTTTAAAAAGGCTCTTCGCGAATCAGGGGGGGCGCTTAAGGCACCCGCCGAGTCTTCAGTCCGCAGGCATCTGCACCTGCGGTTTTTAAGGGTCCCCGTGTCGCCGGCACGGCAAAGACCCATCCACCGCTGAGCCGATTCCCTCCGGAGCTCGGAGGGAATCCGCCATTCCCGGATCGCGCCCAACCCGGAAGTCCCATGCTGCAGACCACTCTCCAAGGTTTCAGGCACGGACTGTTCCCATGTGGACCTAGAATCGCCACCACTGACCCATCAATTTGTATACCTGTTTCGTGGCCCAACCCACATGCCCAGGCAGAGCCGGGTGTGCTAGCTTGAGGCTTTTGCAAGCACCAATATGCAGACCAGAAATGGGTTCTTCTAAAGTAAAATATTGCCGCCGCCAAAGAAAGGATATCGAGGTTGCCTCTCGGGCAGCTCGTCTTTCAGCTCATCCGGAGAAATGCCCTGGTAGAATTAAAAATAAAACAAGAGACAGGGTTGTGCACACAGGAAGCCACAGATATATCCAACAGCTGTATAAAATGGTATACATAACAGTAACTAAGTTATCTAAGCTACACTGGCTCCCAGTACGTTTCCGAGCATAGTTCAAAGTGTCGGTGCTGACCTTTAAAGTCCTAAATGGCCTCAAAGGTCCAGTATACCTGAAGGAGCACCTCCACCCCCATCGTTCTACCCAGACACTGAGGTCCAGCTCCGAGGGCCTTCTGGCGGTTCCCTCCCTGCGAGAAGCCAAGTTACAGGGAACCAGGCAGAGGGCCTTCTCGGTAGTGGCGCCTGCCCTGTGGAACGCCCTCCCACCAGATGTCAAAGAGAATAACAACCACCAAACTTTTAGAAGACATCTGAAGGCAGCCCTGTTTAGGGAAGCTTTTAATGTTTGATGTATTACTGTATTTTAATATTTGGTTGGAAGCTGCCCAGAGTGGTTGGGGTAGCCCAGCCAGATGGGCAGGGTATAAATAATTTTTTTTTATTATTATTATTATTATTATTATTATTATTATTATTATTATTATCTGAAGCTTGTTCCCTTAAAGAGCCCTTGACCATTTTATTCTGTGAACCACCCTGATATCTTATGATGAAGGCTAGTATATAAATCTAATAAATCATCATCACCACCACCACCAGGCGCTGTTCAGATATTTCGCACTACAACTCCCATCAGCTCCACCCAGCAGGGGCGAATCATACTGTGGCTGATGCGAGTTGTAGTCAAAAACATATGAACAGCACCAGCTTGGCAAAAGCTAGGAAATAAAGCCCACTAAACTCAGTGGGGTTTGCTTCTGAACAGAACAGACATGCCAAGCGTGACGTTGCTACTTCTGCCAAGACCAGCCAGGTGTGGTTTCAGAGCATCCTGCAGGAACCAGCACTGCAAAGGGCAGAGGCGGCGTGGCGTGGAATACAGACAAAGAAACGATTTTCCAAATGGCGCAGTGGTTCACTTTCAAAATCCAGCAATAAGAAAATCTTTGCTGTGAGAAGTTGCAGCTTGGAAGCAGTTTGTAGCTGGAGGCGAAGACACAAAATCCACACCATATAAATAGACCATCCACAAACCTCATGTTCTTCATCCAGAACCACCAGCTGCTTATCCTTGTCGATCTTCACTATAATAAAAGGGAGAAAGAAATTGAAATGAACCCACTGAAATTAATGAACACGATTTAGCTAGGACCACTGATGTCAGTGCTTCTACTGCTTCCTTTTATACAGGGCTACTCGCCCTGCCTTACTCTCTGGCTGCAGCCAATTAACAATAAAAATCTCCAAATGGGTCCAAACTCCAATGTTTAAAATCACTGGTAGAGGACAAAGTTCCAGAGATCACGTTAAAGGTGGCCAAATTCTGTGCGATTGCCATAAAACTTAGGGAACAAGCTGTGATACCATCACGATTAAGGTTTTAAATGACAACTTTGGGTTATATTTTAGTGAGTAAGATCTAATTTATATATTTTAATTGCTGCTATATCTGTACCGTCCCTGTTATACCGAACTGCAAATTTAAATGCATCCCTGTTGTGTTTCGTGACTTCCCTGATTCTGTATGTGAGCTGGAACTGGTCTGTGACCAAAATAATAAATTCATTCAATTAACAGTAGCACAATTAACAGGCCAATGTTCGGAGCAACTCTCAGCTGACCCACCAAGAGGATTCGGGACACTGTTCCAAGGGCTGAATGCTAGAAGTTGGCAGGACCAGAGGCAAAAGGTAAAAGAGGAGCGACAGGTGCGTATGTTTTCCTTTGTGCAAGAGGCTATTTTCCACACCTATTTACGTTCCACACCCAGTATGTTTCCGAGCACAATTCAAAGTGTTGGTGCTGACCTTTAAAGCCCTCGGTCCAGTATATCTGAAGGAGCGTCTCCATCCCCATTGTTCTACCCGGACACTGAGGTCCAGCACCAAGGGCCTTCTGCCTGTTCCCTCCCTGCGAGAAGCCAAGTTACAGGGAACCAGGCAGAGGGCCTTCTCGGTAGTGGCACCCTCCCTGTGGAACGCCCTCCCACCAGATGTCAAAGAGAATAAGAACTACCAGACTTTTAGAAGACATCTGAAGGCAGCCCTGTTTAGGGAAGCTTTTAATGTTTGATGTATTACAGTATTTTAATTTTTTTTGGAAGCCGCCCAGAGTGGCTGGGGAAGCCCAGCCAGATGGGTGGGGTATAAATAAATTATTATTATTATTATTATTATTATTATTATTATTATTATTTGGAAACCCTTCTCTGTCCTCCATGTAGACAAGCAGGGGAAATTGTCAAAGTTCAAGGGCAAATCCCAGCCAGGCAAAAACACTCAAGGAGGGTGCAAAGCAAGGCTGACGAGGGGTGAGGCCCAGGGAAGAGTTCCAAGGGCCAGAGAGAGAGGTCTAGACGAGGGCTGAATGTGGCCCCCGGGTCTGAGGTTTCCCACCCCTGTTGTTTTTTAAAAAAATAATTTTTATTGAAATTTACAATCACCAGCCAACCCCCACCACCCACCACCCAAACATCACATCTTGTTACATGTATCCTACTTTGTGTTTCATAGATCCATTATCTTCCGTCCTTCCCTTCCAACAGTTTTCCTATTCCATTCTATAGTTTACAGATTCTTTAATTATAAATTATACCATGACATGAGAATTATTTCAATCCTGCCAACGTTTTCATATTTGTACAATTCTCACTTGCATAAACCATAAATTTACTCCATTCTTTTTGGTACTTTGTCTCCTCCTGATTGCGAATTCTGTGTGTCAATTTAGCCATCTCAGCTTACTCAACCAACTTCATCTGCCATTCTCTTATCGTCGACATCTCCTGTTGCTTTCCACTTTTGAGCTATCAGAACTCTGGCTGCAGTTGGTGCATATAAATATAATCTTTTATCTATCTTTTTAATCCCTTCTCCCACCAAACCTAGCAAAAATTCTTCCGGCTTTTTGGGAAAACTGTACTTAAACAACTTTTTTAACTCGTTGTAAACCGCATCCCAAAACACTTTAATTTTATTGCAAGACCACCACTCATGATAGAAATTGCCGTCTTTTTCCTTACTACTTGTTCTATACATTTTTGCCAATTTGGTGGGAGTGAGATACCAACGATAAACCATCTTCATAACATTTTCTTTTAAGGCAGAGGGTGATGCTCAACAGGAGGAGTGGTGGGGTGCCTTCTGCCCTCCCCTGCTGCTGAGCATCACTCTCTACCACAAAGACACTCAGAAAAGGAGTGTCTTTGTGGCAGAGGGTGATTACCAGGTAACACTGACTCCTCACTGGCGACCCACCTGCACTCACTGTGTGCTATTAGCAACATGGGTTGCTATTAACAACATGCTTTGAAAAAAATAAAAATAAAAGCTTTTATTAAGACTTTGCTCTGTTGTTTTACCACAAGGGAAGGTTTCTCACCATCCTGGAAAAAAGGTGGCAAGTGGGGTGCCACAGGGTTCTGTCCTGAGCCCGTTGTGGTTCAACGTCTTCATAAATGACTTGGACGAAGGAAAAGAGGGGATGCTCATAAAATTTGCAGATGTCACCAAACTGGGAGGGGGAGCTAATGCCGCAGAAGACAGAATCAGGATTCAATACATAGCTGTCAACGTTTCCCTTTTTTAAAGGGAAATTCCCTTATTCCGAATAGAATTCCTCACAAGAAAAGGGAAAAGGTGACAGCTATGATTCAATATGATTCCCTTTCAGGGAAGTTTTTAATATTTAATGCTGTACTGTTTTTAACACTTGATTGGGAGCCGCCCAGAGTGGCTGGGCAAACTCAGCCAGATGGGCGGGGTATAAATAATAAATTATTATTTATATTATTATTATATTATTATTATTATTATTATTATTATTATTACCTTGAGCCCAAGGTTACAAAATGAATTTCAATAGGGACAAATGTAAGGTTCTGCACTTAGGCAAGAAGAACCAGGTGCATAAATTTAAGATGAGGGACACCTCAGCAAGGACAGGGCCTTCTCAGCCACAGCACCCCCAAGTTACAGAACTTGCTTTTTTTCAGGATGATATTCTTGCTGTTTGGAACCAGATGAAAACCGTGCTTTTAGATGTGTTTTTGCCTGGTGGCTGTTGAGCAATTTTTCTTTTCTTTTCTTTTTTGCTAGCTAGCTTGTAACTTGTGTTTTATTATGGTGGGATATAAATAGTTCATCCACATGCACACACACATAAATACTGCCCAACGTCACCAAACCACCCATAGCAAACGCCACGACGGCAGTTTCTTGTAGTTAAGAGACGTTTGCTCAACCAGGGCAGGGAAGGAGAATCAGGAGAAAGAAGAAACATTTGGAAAAGAACATAAGCCGCGATAAATCCACTTATCTTTGTAACCATGAGGGCAGTAATCTCTTTCGATTTCTTCTTTTTAAAGGGATCCTCAGGATGATAAAAGAGGCTCCACGGAGGAGCCACTGAAGCCGACAAGGTCAGCTCTGGACAGACAGACCCAAAGCTTAATTACGGTGTTGACATAATTTGGGACAACTTGGAGAAACTGCCTCCAAGACTCTGCTGGCCATTTAATACCCTACTGCTTTGCTACACCAGGAGTGGGGAACCCCAGGGCCAGAGGCAACCCTCAGGCCTCCCTTTAAGCCACACCCCTCTCCTCAAGCCCCTCCCCCCTGTCCCCAAACCTATTTGGCTGGCTTCTGTCCTCTAACCAAGAATACCTTTTGCTTACATAGAATGAGGCTTAAGGTAAAGGTAAAGGTACCCCTGCCCGTACGGGCCAGTCTTGACAGACTCTAGGGTTGTGCGGCCATCTCACTTAAGAGGCCGGGGGCCAGCGCTGTCCGGAGACACTTCCGGGTCACGTGGCCAGCGTGACAAAGCCGCATCTGGCGAGCCAGCGCAGCACACGGAAACGCCGTTTACCTTCCCGCCAGTAAGCGGTCCCTATTTATCTACTTGCACCCGGAGGTGCTTTCGAACTGCTAGGTTGGCAGGCGCTGGGACCGAGCAGCGGGAGCGCACCCCGCCGCGGGGATTCGAACCGCCGACCTTTCGATCGGCAAGCCCTAGGCGCTGAGGCTTTTACCCACAGCGCTACCTGCGTCCCCAGAATGAGGCTTACCTCAGGTTAAATATGCTTCAGGTTGAGCATTTTCAGGTTGCATGCCGCGGCGACCCAGAAGTAACGGAACGGGTTACCTCTGGGTTTCGCCGCTCGCGCAGACACTCAAAATGACGTCATGTGCATGCGCAGAAGTGGTGAATTGCGACCCGCGCATGCGCAGACGCATCTTGCGTTCTGTTCAGGATGCGAACGGGGCTCCGGAATGCATCCCGTTCGCATCCAGAGGTACCACTGTATACACAATGTGTGTTTGTGTGCAGACAAAATGTGAGAGAGCCCCCTTATCTTTGAACGGCTGGAATCTGGCAGACTGAACAAAGGCAATCGCAATGGCCATTGCTCCACCCACTTCTGCCTGTAGCCCCGCCCACTACTGGCTCATCTCTCCCCCCCCCCCTTTCCCACCTCAATACTTCTCACCGCCAGCATTCGAAATTAGACAGGCGCCGGGCGCATTTTGCCCCCGGCTATCGGCCACTTGAGACCAAGTGAAGATGACCGGGCGCCAATATAGTGCCTGATCTCTCCACCATCTCAAAGCACCTGCCTGGGGATCATTGGATCTTGTCTGTTTTCACACACTAATACCACGTCCTGTAGAATTTTGTATTTTATCTGCACAACCAGAATGAATTTCAGGGACCAATTTTGAGCTGCCTGGCCCCAAAATGACAACTAGGCATTCCGCTTTGGCAATCGTAACCTTGGTTTAAGGAGCCATTTACCGCCTAGCTTATATATCTGAGTTTCTAACACTGATCACTACCTTCCAACAACATTTCTCCCGCTATACAAAGTTGGGACTGAGTGCCCGCATCTTGCCTCTGGCCATTCAGCGGATTCACAAATCCACAAGGAGAGCTCTGCTGGATCAAGCCAATGGTCCCCTCTAGTCCATCACCCTGTTCTCACAGTGGACTGCGGGAAACCAGCGAGCAGGATTCGAGCACAAGAGTTCTCTCCCATCCGGTGGTTTCAACCAACTGGTAACCTGTGGCAGACACAAAGGTTGCCACTCAACCAGCTCTCCAAATTGCCTAGGACAGGGGGTTTTTTGTTCGTTTTTTTGCTGACATCCAAATGCAAAAGTTCTTTCAACTGTGCTCTCAGAAAGCAAAGTGCAAGGAGGCCTCAGGCCAAATGGAGAGTCCGCAATGCCCTCTGCTCTTACTCAGCAGATCCTTCTCCGCCCCAACCCAGAGCAAGGCCTTGAAACCCTGGTGGGCAGACGTCTTACTGATAATCGCAGCATTGTTCGTCTCTTTGCGGAAACGGAATTTTCTCAGCTTCTCCACAAGGTCTTCGGCTACGTCACAAACCACGAGGGATTCACTCTGCGGGGGGGGGGGGGAGGAGAGACAAGGAGGGAGATGAATAAGACATTCTTATTAAGACATTTAAGTCAGCCACAGCTCTCTGATCCCCAGCTGTTGGAAGGTCTGGAGCAGGCGCAAAGCCCCAGAAACTACAGTGGTACCTCGGGTTAAGTACTTAATTCATTCCAGAGGTCCATACTTAACCTGAAACTGTTCTTAACCTGAAGCACCACTTTAGCTAATGGGGCCTCCTGCTGCCGCCGCGCCGCCAGAGCCCGGATTTCTGTTCTCATCCTGAAGCAAAGTTCTTAACCTGAAGCACTATTTCTAGGTTAGCGGAGTGTGTAACCTGAAGCGTATGTAACCTGAAGCATATGTAACCCAAGGTACCACTGTAATAAGAGGAAACAAGTAACTACAGTGGTACCTCGGGTTACAGACACTTCAGGTTAAAGACTCCACTAACCCAGAAATAGTACCTCGGGTTAAGAACTTTGCTTCAGGATGAGAACAGAAACCGTGCAGCAGCAGCGGGAGGCCCCATTAGCTAAAGTGGTACCTCAGGTTAAGAACAGTTTCAGGTTAAGAACAGACCTCCAGAACGAATTAAGATCTTAACCCGAGGTACCACTGTACTCTGAAATGCTTTGTGGGGACATAGCTCTGTGATCCTGCGGTGGGAACAGAGGAAGCAGCCTTGCACAAAGTCCTACCATTGGTCTGTCTGCTCAGTACAGTCATACCTCATGTTACGTTTGCTTCAGGTTGCGCATTTTCAGGTTGCGTCCCGCGGCGACCCGGAAGTAATGGGATGGGTTTCTTCCAGGTTTTGCAGCTCACGCATGCGCAGACGCGCAAAATGACGCCACGCGCATGCTCAGAAGCGACGACCCGCAAACACAGGTTGCATTCTTTACAGGTTGCGAACGAGCCTCCAGAACGGATCCCGTTCGCAACCAGAGGTACCACTGTATTGCCAACGCCAGCCTTCCCCAACGTGGGACCGGGGGCTGATGGGAGTTGTAGCCCCAGTATGAGAAAGGTACTGCAGACCAGGAATGGGGAACCTGTGCCCCCTCTAGGTATTGCCAGGCTGGCTGCAGCTCCCTTTCCCCCTAACCATTGGTCATGCTGGCTGGTAGGAGTCAGGAGTCCAGGCATGCCTCCCTATTCCTGCTGCAAGCGGAGAACTTGAGGAAAAGGACTTTTCTGCTCATGCCACTGGGAAAGTCCAGAAATAGAGGTGATCTGGTTGACCACTGATGCTGGATGAGATGGCAGAGACATCACCTTGCCGTAAAAGGACCATATAGTTAAAGCTATGGTTTTCCCAGTAGTGATGTATGGAAGTGAGAGCTGGACCATAAAGAAGGCTGATCACCAAAGAATGGATGCTTTTGAATTATGGTGCTGGAGGAGACTCTGGAGAGTCCCATGGACTGCAAGAAGATCAAACCTCTCCATTCTGAAGGAAATCATCCCTGAGTGCTCACTGGAAGAACAGATCCTGAAGCTGAGGCTCCAAGACTTTGGCCACCTCATGAGAAGAGAAGACTCCCTGGAAAAGACCCTGATGTTGGGAAAGATGGAGGACACAAGGAGAAGGGGATGACAGACGATGAGATGGTTGGACAGTGTTCTCGTAGCTACCAGCATGAGTTTGACCAAACTGTGGGAGGCAGTGGAAGACAGGAGTGCCTGGCGTGCTCTGGTCCAGGGGGTCACGAAGAGTCGGACACGACTAAATGACTAAACGACAACAACAACAACAACAAAGGTGTTGCTGAACCGCAACTCACAGGGTTTCTAAAAGGATAAAATGAGAAGGGGAGAATCGTGTATGCCTCATGGATGAAAGTTGGGATATAAAAATAAGCAAATAAAGGGACAAGATGAAGTCGTTCCCCCGCCAGGACTTAGACCACGCCAGAGAGTTTCTGGATATACATCACTGCCTCAATGTTCATCTTACAGTATGCAGCTAAGACAAAACAACCCATCCTGCAAATTCCTTTCCTCTCTGCAGTGAAATGCATCTCAGATAGTCATTTCCAGCAGGGAAAGGCCAAGCTGATGCAAGTGGAAGGACCGCAAAGAGCAGAAATGGGAGAGAAGAGGCACAGCGTTGCCGCAAAAGACATCCTTCGTTATTCCAGCCTGAGCTTCTCTGCTCCGACAAGTAGCTTTGTGAAAATGTATTCCTGGCGGTTACACTCACAAATAAATGCAGCTCAGCGATTGTGTCAGGCGGAGGCACAGCCCAGTTCCCTGAATAGGCTGCCTCCAGGTACTTGCACCACCCAGAAATCATTTGCTCATCATAGGAGGCCCTGAGCCAGCAAGGCACCCGTAAGCACCAGAACAGCTTACTGCAGCCCTGTTGCCAAGGAAAAGAGAAGGAAAGGCATTTGCAAGTCTGTAGATTGCATCTCCCTGCCGTGTGGGGATTTGGAATGACTTCTGTGCAATGGTTTAACCCTGTTTAAATGCCAGAGGGTTTTTTGGGGTGGGGAGCAGAGGGACTGCACTTCTGCCGCTGCTGTTTCTTTTTTTTAAAAGATATTTATTAAAGTTTCTGCCGCTGCTGTTTCAATTGTAAGCTGCTTGGGGCAGGGACCATCTCATTGTTTCTTTTGCTGGAACTAAAAATAATTTTTATTCAGAGGAGTGAGGAATCTAGTAGAGGAGCTTCAGCTCCTGTGCAAACCCACAAAGCACCTAATTCCTGGGGTGGGGGGGGGAGGCAGAAATCTTGACAGTAAAACTGGATTAGGTTTTGCAAGACAGACATGCCCTACTTTTCTCCTCTTCTTTTTTTACTCACAGCCAGACTTAAGGCTAAGAGCTCTCACAAACAAAACAGCTCAAGGCCTCTAAAGTCTAACCGAAGCCTGTTGAAAGTGTTTTACATCAACAGGCCAATTTCCTTGAGAACTCGCCTTTCGAGCATCGCAAGGAGTTAAGAATTTAAGAGAGGTTGGGCAAGGCGAGCAAAAAACTTGCAAAGGGGATGTGGCCGTGGCTCTGCTTTGGAAATGTCCAGGTTCAGTCCCCAGCATATCCAGGTGTAGCTGGGAGAGACCCCTGCCTGAAACCTTGGAGAGCTGCTACCAGTCAGTGTAGGCAGTGCTGACACACTGGCCTGACACAAGAGAAAGCAGATTCCTTTGCTTCCAAAGTGCCAAGACCAAGAGCCAAGGCCATCTAACCGAACTGCCCTCCCTAGACCAGTGTTTCCCAACCGGTGTTCCGTGGCACACTTGTGTGCCGCGAGACGTTGCCTGGTGTGCCGCGAGATGTTGCCTGGAGGGAGGCGGGCGAGTCGGGCGGCGAGAGGCGGGGCGGCGGCGGCGAGTAGAGGCCGCCCAGCGCGGGGCTCTCGCCGTCTGCCTGCCTGGCTGCCTGCGTGGCGCTGACGTCACGGGGCTGTAACGTGCCCCACATAGGCACACGCGGGGCGGCGAGCGAGCTCCCTCCCACATCCCATCGCCGCTCGCTTCGGCCGGCCTACTGGGCTGTCGCAGGCGGAAGGCCTGCGCATGCGCGAGGTTTTCGCGCCTTCGGGATTCCCTTCACGCCTTCCTCCTCCCGGGTCCTTGAGAGCGCGGGTAGCGGCAGCGCGAGACCGGCGTTGAGCCTGGTAGGTATTGCGCTTGCCAAGGCAGTCATTTGGGAAATGAAAACTTGCAAAGCAAGCAACCAGTTCAATCTGAAGTACGTGTATGCTTAATATCCTGTATCTGAAACCTGTTCTGCCCCCTCCCCCACACTTGGTGCCATTTTCATAGTGGAGGCATGGCTGGACACACTGGCCTGGACACAAGAGAAAGCAGATTCCCTTTGCTTGCCAAAGTGCCAAGACCAAGAGCCAAAGGCCATCTAACCGGAACTGCCCTCCCTAGACAAAGCACCAGCCCCCTCCCACCAGCTGACAACTGGTTGCTTGCAATGAATGGTCATCATCATCATCCTCATTATTATTATTATTTTAAATGTGCATACTGCCCTTCTTTCGTCCATAGATCTCAGGGCAGTCACGCCATAAAAATACAGTGTACCTCGGGTTACATACACTTCAGGTTACATACGCTTCAGGTTATTACACTCACTAAGCCAGAAATAGTGCTTTCAGGTTAAGAACTTTGCTTCAGGATAAGAACAGAAATCGTGCTCTGGCAGCACGGCGGCAGCAGGAGGCCCCATTAGCTAAAGTGGTTCTTCAGGTTAAGAACAGTTTCAGGTTAAGTACGGACCTCCAGAACGAAATTAAGTACTTAACCCGAAGTACCACTGTACAAAATAAAAACACAAAATTCATAATAAGAACAGTAACAAAGACGTGATGATGGTTGGAGGGTGAACAGAGGGTTAAAGATAAGCAGCAGTGGTGGGTGGGCAGAAAAGGAACAAGAGGATATTTATACTGGTGTGAACTTCCCCAAGAGACTAGAGGCAGATAGCAGATTCAGCCCTTTCTGGACTCCATGAGTGGGTTTTGGGGAAGAGGGGAGAGAAGGCAGTCGTGGGTGGGGTGGGCACCTTTACCTCAATGATTTCCCAAAGCGAAAGCATCGCATTTTGGAAAAGTGCAACTGTTCTACTTTAGCTTTCTCCAAGAGAACAATTAGATGGACAGAAGGAGCCAAAAGGGAACTTAAGATGTATGCATACACAACCTTTTACACCAGATTAGCCAAACACAACTGCCAGCCCGGTTCCATATTTACCATTAACGGAAGCAGATTAGAATGACTAGGCAAGGGTGTGCCTTGGAAGAGATACCAAGTAAAAATTCCATCCTCTCACAGCTCTTTATGTTATTTTTTTCCAGGGTGGCTAAAGTGCATAATGACACACAGGCAAGAATCACAATTAGTGTTGATCCAGATCGTACTTAAAATGAAGGAGTCCCATTGATGGCAAGAGAACTAGCTTCCAAATAATAATAATAATAATAATAATAATAATAATAATAATAATAATAATAAAAATTTATACCCCGCCCATCTGGCTGGGCTTCCCCAGCCACTCTGGGTGGCTTCCAGCAGAATATTAAAATACAATGATTCATCAAATATTAAAAGGGCTGCCTTCAGATGTCATCTAGAAGTCCGAAACTTGTTTATTCCTTTGACATCTGGTGGGAGGGCGTTCCACAGGGTGGGCACCACTTCCGAGAAGGCCTTCTGCCTGGTTCCCTGTAACTTCGATTCTTGCAGTGAGGGAACTGCCAGAAGGCCCTCGGAGCTGGACCTCAGTGTCCTGGTGGAAAGATGGGGGTGGAGACGCTCCTTCAGATATACTGGGCCGAGGCCATTTAGGGCTTTAAAAGTCAGCACCGACACTTTGAATTGTGCTCAGAAACGTACTGGGAGTCAACGTAGGTCTTTCAAGACCGGTGTTATGTGGTCCTGGCGGCCGCTCCCAGTCACCAGTCTAGCTGCCACACTCTGGATTAGTTGTAGTTTCCAGGACACCTTCAAAGGTAGCCCCACATAGAGTGCAATGCAGTAGTCCAAGCGGGAGATAACCAGAGCATGCACCACTCTGGCCAGACAGTCTGTGCGCAGGGAGGGTCTCATCCTGCGTACCAGATGGAGCTGGTAGACAGCTGCCCTGGACACAGAATTGACCTGCGCCTCAATGGACAGCTATGAGTCCATTAGTGGGAACAGGGTTGAAGTATTCTGGGACAATGCAGATTACATTCTCCACTTTAGGAATAAACATGTATTAAGGGGGAAAGAGTCCTACCATCAACCCCTCCCATCACGAGGACAAGGACCCGGGCTGCAATCCTGGACAGACCTATGTGGGAGTGAGTTCAGTAGGGCTTACTTCCAAGTAGGCACACACAGGGCTGCACTTTCCACATCGCAGAATGTGGATTTATCACCGGTGAAGCATTTTTCAGCCACTCATCTCCACACCCTCTCCATTCACGCTTGCAGCGAGTGACGAGGGGAAATTTAATCCACATTCCTGGTGTGAGTACAGACATAAAGTATACTCATCCTGGATTAGGGAGTACAGGAAAACACACTTGCGCATGGCACTTAAGTGTGGCAAAGAGAAACAAACCCAGATCACTCTTTGGAATGCACCCCTGATCCTGCCATTTCCAGAGGGCGAGTGGGTCAGGGTGGGGCAGTAAAAATAAGACAAAAAAGAGGGTGCGGGGCAAGGAGGCAGCCTGGCCAGTGCCTTTTCCAAGCACAGTCCCACTAAATGCAAAGTGGGTAAAATAATAATAATAAATTTTATTTATACCCCGCCCTCCCCAGCCAAGGCCAGGCTCAGGGCGGCTAACAAGTAATAATAAAAACAAGCTGAATGAATACAACTTAAAAACAAGATTAAAATACAACATTAAAACATTAAATTCTGGCCCTTTCTTTGCAACGAAGCATCGCAGTTTTTGTCTTTTTCCTTTGAGGGACAGGAGTCTTTTCTAGCCTTCCCAGAAGTCTGGGGAAATGTATTAAGTTTTAACTTGGTGTGTTTGTTTTATTTATTAAATTTGCACACCGCCCTTCCTCCAAAGATCTCAGGGCAGTTCGCAGCATAAAAACACACAAAATAAAGATACATAATGAGAATAAAAACAAAACAAACCTGTAACAACAACAACACCCCCAAATATACGAACAGGAACACGGTTTAAACAAATACCAAACCATCCTTGCAGCGGGAGGCCATCGCCACATCTATTTTTTTGTGTCAAAAGTCACATTTATTGCTCAAAATGTCATGTCTTCCTCTCCCTCCCCCCCACCCCACCGACGACGGAGACCCCCAGCAGGGACATGGGAGGGGTTTTTAGACACCCCACCTCGGAACTCTAAGGGCACAAACCTTCCCGGGAATGTGGAAGCGGCGAAGGAGCCAGCCGGGGCCTCCCCTCGCCGCCCCAGCGATCCCCCCGCACTCACCATCTTGCTCCCGCAACAGCCTTTCCCTCAAGTCCCTTCAGCAGCGCGGCCCCTTTAAGAGCCCCCGGGTGCCCTCCCCGGCTCCCTTTCAATCCGGCCTCAGAACCGCTCAGCGCGCATGTCCGTCCCGGCCGCCGAGCCAATCCGAAGCGCAGCTGGGCAGGGTTCGAAGGCGTCGCCTGAGCTACGGCGAGCGGAAAGGGCCAGTCCTTGTTACCGTTTTCTTTTTCTCCCCCCCCCCCCACCCTCTCATGTGATTATCCTCCTCCAAGGCAGGCATCCGTCCAGCCGCCCACGCCTAGAGAGGCCCGAGACTGTGAAGGCGCCCCCGCGGCGTCCCCGGCCTCTCTCGCTAGCCCGGGGGCGGGGGCGGGCGGGGATTCTACTTCCTGCCCCCTCCCGCCTTGCCCGCCAGGAAGCGGCGTTGCCATGGCAACTAGAGGGGGCTAAGAGAGAGAGAGAGAGAGAGAGAGAGACGTTGATAAATTTAAAACGCCCAGGTGGCTGACAAATAATAAAAGGCATGAGAAATTGAAAAGCGACAGCCGCGTGTTTATTGGCAGCAGGTTTGCTGCAATAGAACAAATTTTATTTTATTTTATTTTTACATACATTCATACATACTGTACATACATTTGTTGTTTAGTCATTTAGTCGTGTCCGACTCTTTGTGACCCCCATGGACCAGAGCACGCCAGGCACATCTGTCCTCCACTACCTCCCACACTTTGGTCAAACTCATGCTGGTAGCTTCGAGAACACTGTCCCACCATCTCGTCCTCTGTCGTCCTCCTCTCCTCATGCCCTCCATCTTTCCCAACATCAGGGTCTTTTCCAGGGAGTCTTCTCTTCTCATGAGGTGGCCAAAGTCTTGGAGCCTCAGCTTCAGGATCTGTCCTTCCAGTGAGCACTCAGGGCTGATTTCCTTCAGAATGGAGAGGTTGGATCTTCTTGCAGTCCATGGGACTCTCAAGAGTCTCCTCCAGCACCAGAATTCAAAAGCATCAATTCTTCGGCCATCAGCCTTCTTTATGGTCCAGCTCCCACTTCCATACATCACTACTGGAAAAACCATAGCTTTAACTGTACGAACTTTTGTTGGCAAGGTGATGCCTCTGCTTTTTAAGATGCTGTCTAGGTTTGTCATTGCTTTTCTCCCAAGAAGCAGGCATCTTTTAATTCCGTGACTGCTGTCACCATCTGCAGTGATCATGGAGCCCAAGAAAGTAAAATCTCTCACTGCCTCCATTTCTTTCCCTTCTGTTTGCCAAGAGGTGATGGGCCCAGTGGCCATGATCTTCGTTTTTTTGATGTTGAGCTTCAGACTTTTGCACTTATTTTATTTTATTTATACATACATTCATACTGTACATACATACCGCCCTTCACCCATAAATCTCAGGGCAGTTTGCAGCATAAAAATGCAAGATGGAAACCTGAAACACATAATAAAAATAATAATAAAATAAACCTATAACGCACCTCCACCTGGTAAAAGGTCAAAGTACCTCTGGAAGCTGAAGTTCAGTCAAAGGAGACTATGGGGTGTGGCGCTCATCTCCCACAAGCAGACGTGTTAATTTTATACATCACTTTGGGAAGACAGGTGAACTAATGCCAGTGTACCGGAAGAAGCAAAGCAACTGAGTACGTAACAATCGCCCATGTCAAAGCAATGATTCTTCAGCATCAACTTCGTTGGACTGGTCATGTTGTGCAGATGCCTGATTATCGTCTTCCATAGCAACTACTCTATTCTGAACTTAAAAATGGAAAGCATAATGCCGGTGGGTCAACAAAAGAGGTCCAAAGACTCTCTCTAGGCAAATCTTAAAAAAAATTGTAGTATAAACACCAACAATTGGGAAACACTTGCCTGTGAGTGCTCCAGTTGGAGAACAGCCTTTCCCAAAGGTGTCATGGGCTTTGAAGAAGCTCGAACTCAGGATGCAAGGGAGAAATGTGGTAAGAGAAAGGCATGTTTGGCAAACCCTCACGAGGATCAACTCCCACCTGGAAACCTATGTCCCCACTGTGGAAGGACGTGTGGATCCAGAATTGGCCTCCACAGTCACTTGCAGACTCACATTTAAAACCGTGTTTATGGAAGACAATCTTACTCGGCTACAAGTGATCGCCAAAAAAGAAGAAGCTAATAACAATAATTACCATTATATTTACATCACTCCTGTTCCCCTGACACACACACATATGCATACACACACACCCCATAAAATGTCAGTTGATAATACTGATTAGGTTAGAGGCTGGTGCTGGTAATTCCAAGGTTGCAGGTTCGATCCCCACATGGGACAGCTGCATATTCCTGCATGGCAGAGGGTTGAACTGGATGATGCTCAGTTCTCCTTCTGAATGATGCCATGGCCTATGGCTAGTGCAAAAAAAGTTTAATTGGTCTAATTGGAAGATGCTCAGGGTCCCTTCTGACTCTACAATTCTACAATTCTGTGCTCTCAAGGAAATCAGCCCTGAGCGCTCACTGGAAGGACAGATCCTGAAGCTGTAGCAGGAAACCCCCCACCCCAATCATTCTGCTTGTACAAACTTCACACACACACACACTCACACACTACATACGCCACATTTCTGTTATAAATTCATAGAAAATCAACCATACATTGGATTTGCACTGTTCCATTTTTATTTTACTCCATATGACAAGAACTAACAGAAGGGGAGGGGGGTTTGACCCTGGTCAGCCAGAATCCCTTCACTGTCTCAGCACATCTGCAGGAGCCCTGCCCAGATGATCCCAGACAGAAGACAATCAAAATCACAAAGAACAGTGGATTCACCACAGACTGAAACAAAGGAGAATGATCAGATCTTCCCTCTGGGGGCAGGAAACTGCAAACTCCCCATTGTCACCTGGAAGGCACTCATGGGGAGGGGGAAAGGAGGAACCAGCTGGGTGACAGGACACTCAGGTTACCACCACAACTCCTCCCTCAACCCCTCCTTTCTGTAATATATGCATGATGTCAACTCCTTTCTGTAATGTATGCATGATGTTTCTGGGGGTGGGCTTGAGCTAGAGGAGGGGAATTTCAAAAAGTTTTTATAAGGTCTTGCAGCCCATTGTTCTGGGTCTTTCCTCTCTCCTGCAAGTGAGGGGAACACCCTGATGCATCAGTTCAATAAAGGCCAAGCCTACAGGCTGCTGTTTTGCTCCAAGTTATCCTGGTTGGTGTCTTTGTTTTGTCCAAGGGAGCCCTCGGATTTTTCCTGTAACAGTTGGCACCCCAGATGGGACTCTTGGTTCTCCTGCAGAGGTGAGGAGGGAGATAGGGGGGATCAGGCGCCACTGGGCAACCTTAGCCCAGAGATCCTTCTTCCTCTCCCTGCCTCCTCTTTGCGGGCGGTAATCAATCGTCACCAAAAGCTCAACCAGGGGAGCAAAGGCGAGGTCAAGCCGGCTAAGGGAAAAGGATCCCGGGATCTGCGGGGGGACATCTTCGAACGTGAGTATGGTTTGAAGTAAATACATTGGGAGGGGGGTGGAAAAGGAACATCTCCACGACAGCCAGACTTTCCTTCTTTCATTTCCGACGTTCCCTCTCGGGGTCGGCCAGGAACGTTTTAGCTCTATTCTTTTCTCCCCCGATTCTCCCCCTCGGAGGGTGCCCAGGGAAATCGCGGAACTTTACTGTCTGGCGTTACCTCTTGGAGTCGTCTAGGAACGTCAAAACCTTTCTCTGTCTCTCCCCTCAAGTTCTTACGCGGAACGTGTCCGGGGAAATTGTGGTACTTTTACTGTTTTCCGGCATTACCTCTCGGAGTCGTCCGGGTATGTCTTAATCTATCTGTCCTTTTCTCCCCCGTTTTCCGTCTTGGAATTGGTCCGGGAAAGCGTGGCCCTTTGTTACTTCTCTGACGTCCTTCCCTCGGAGTCGTCCGGTGGCGTCTTTTCAAAAGTATTTCAACGCAAGGTCATTTGCTTCCTTTCAAACCTTGGTTGTTTTCTCGGACCCCGATCTGGCACTGCATTGCACAGGCGTCCAGTAGGGAGCCCGAACTTAGTCCAAAAGGCTAGGCAGGAGGCTGTTGTGGAGGGTAGAAGGGGTGGCAGAAACTTTCTCGGGCCAAGGTGTCCCGTGGCAGACGGGCCAAGGTGTCCCGTGGCAGAAACTTTCTCGGGCCAAGGTGTCCCGTGGCAGACGGGCCAAGGTGTCCCGTGGCAGAAACTTTCTCGGGCCAAGGTGTCCCGTGGCAGACGGGCCAAGGTGTCCCGTGGCAGAAACTTTCTCGGGCCAAGGTGTCCCGTGGCAGACGGGCCAAGGTGTCCCGTGGCAGAAACTTTCTCGGGCCAAGGTGTCCCGTGGCAGACGGGCCAAGGTGTCCTGTGGTTGAAGTTTGAGCTCATTCATAAGATTTTCTGGAAACGAAATTGTAGTCTAAAAGATAGGTACATTCTAAATACTGAAAGGATATTTTCCCCTTTTCCCCTTTTCTTCCCATCCCCTCTCTTCCCTTCGTGTGTGCCTCTGCCCCCCTCTGTCTTTAACGTAGGAAGAATGGGAACCCAGGCTTCCAAACACTCTGATTGGACTCCTCCTGGCAACAAAGCTTCCATGAAGCCTTTTGCCCCAGAGAGGATTCTAATATGCCCCTCCAGCATCTCCAATTGAAAAAAATAAAATAAAGGGGCAATATGGTCTTTCAAGTACAAAGTACGAGACCATTGTAACTTTTAGTGGGATCCTTCAACAAAATCAGGGTGTGAACCCTGAGGGAGAGCTGAAAACATCAAATTTGTGTTGTTAAACTATAACCTAAAGCTAGAACATGAAACTGTAAACTTAATGGTGCACAGAAGGCAGTAGATATAATAACAGCCCATGTTCTTAAATGCACATAGTTTTAAATTGCAAGCTTGCTTCAAAAAAATCTTAAATCTAAGGAAGCCGTGTTGCGCCTTATCAATCTTAAAACAAAACAAAATGGAGAATGGAGTGTGCAAATGTTTGTTATTTGAGAGAGGCTCTAAAAGAGAGTTTCCCTCCCAAGTGGTGAAATCCTGCATACGTGCTACTTGTGTTCTGAAAGGGGGATTACCCCACCTCTTTCTTCTAGTTTTAAGTGAGGAGGGTAATTTTAAGTCTAATGGTAAATGATGTTTTATTGTAACTTTTGAGTTTGTGAGTAAACCTCTACTC